GCCGGACCGCAATGATTTAGAAGTTCAGGAATCCCACGTGACGTCACCCAGGGGTGACGTTATGGTTCTCTAAATAGATCGTATTGTAATCTTTTCTCAGTCCAACGTGGTTTGCCTCTGAGAGACTCTGCTTCTCATTTTCTGCACTTGTTTGGTAAGTTGAACGCCTCTCCGTAATGCAGACCCTCGTGCACGAGCCTCTGCAGGTTTGTTGACTTTGTTCAAAGCTATCTTTTTTTATTCTCACTTTTTCTCTCTCGTCTTGTTTTCATGCAACAGCTTGTTTTTCTTGTTCGCTGTGGTTGTTTCGAAGATGAGTCTCCTCTCTTTATTTCATAACTGTAACTAAAGAAAAAGAGGGGCACGGTTCGGAGTTCTGGTTCGGTTCTGGGGGAGCGCATTGTCATGTCACCTCGGTGTCCGCGAGCTGCTTTATGTTTTTCTGTTGAAGTTGAACAGCGGAGTCAAGTGCCTCTGCAGCTCGGGCTGTCTGTCAGGTCGCACGAGTCTGCAGGAATTCGTCTTCGGGACCTCGAAAGGGATTCGTGCAAAACAAACAAACAAAACAACAAAACGGGTTATGTGCACAAGTTTCTTCCAAGTTTCCGTTCAGCTCGAAAGGAGCGTCTGAGCTGCAGCCTTGTCCCGTTTGGGGATGAGTCGGACAGCAGACTCTGCGTGCTGCGGTTCACCAATGATCGTCTGGAAAACCAGAAGCTGTCACTCCCAGTTACAAAGACAACAACAGACAGCGCTTTCGTTACATTTCTTTTATTATTATTACTATTATTATTACCATTATTTTTATCTGAACAGCAACATGACGTCATTCTGCAGCCGGGTCGATAGGCCTGTTTGATTAACCGCTGATGATGATGATGATGATGATGATGATGATGATGATGATGATGATGATGATGATGAGGAGGAGGGTTACTTTCAGGAAGGTTGTGCTGACGAAGCGCGCTTTGTGGCCTGAAAGGAAGAAACATGCTTTAATTATTTGATTGCTTCTCGGCCGCTGTCATGTTTATGTGGCAGCGCTTCCAATAAGCACATATTCTTTCATGCACCCTTTAATTATTGTCC